TGCACCCAAAACTGGGAGGGGGAGGCCCTGGCCGGGGGGGGGGGGGGGCACGGTGGGGGGGTCTCCCCCCCGGAGGTGGCTGCTGTTTCCTTCCGGGCCGAGGACAAGGACCGGCTCTTAGCCCTGCCTGGAGGCGCTGGTGCTTAAATCCGAAGACCAGCAGGGACTCTGATCCCGACCACGGAGGAGTCTTCCCAACCTTCGCGGGAGGGAGGGGGTCCAGGGTGGGCTTCAGGGAGCCCAAGACCCCCGAGGCTTCCTCAGGCTTTCACTCTTGACGGCTGGGAGGGCAGGACTGTCCCAAGCTCAGGAGCCCCTTCCCCAGCCTGGCTCCCTTTTGAGGGGACCAGAATGGCCGCTTCCGGTCAAGGCTACTCTAGAACGGCCCTGCAGCTGTTGGGGGCCCCATTGGCAGGGAGATGGGTCCCCTCAGCCCGAGAGCGTGTCTTGAGTCCCAGGGCGCAAGAGAGCCACCCTTGGGGGGTTGGTTCGGGCTGGACCCAACGTGACCCCCCATAACTGAGCTGCTTCTGGTGTTCCTCTTCTAGTGGATGGTGCCCACGATCCAGAACTCCATGAAGCCTTTCCGGGTAAGCTCTGCTTTTCTCCTCCCCAGGCTGAAGGCGCTTGGAGCACCAGAGACTAGAAGCTGGTGTGGATAGAGGGGAACGTTTGTAGCTCAGGGGTGTTAGGTTTTGCAGCAGAAATTCCACTCCAGAAAAGCACACACAGATGGCTGATTCAGCAGGATTCACGCACTGCTTTATATACATGATAAATGAGTCAAATGAGTAATACCAATAGTAGATTCTGGAAAAGTTACAATCCAACACAAACAACAGCTTCAGAGCTCAGAACAGATTACTTTCCATTTCCCTTTAGAGCTGAGAGCACGGAGGTAAGCCACGCCCAGATTCCTCCCAGTCTCAGCCCCCAATTCAGCTCACATTGGCTGAACTTGTTAACCATGTCTCTGCCAGTTCATGAATAGTCTGACAAAACAGGGGTTTCTTGGTGCTCTCTGAGCTTGGCGGTTTTCTTGCAGACGTCTCATGACCCTAACTAGGGAACGTCATCCGTGGTAGAAGTTGCCTCATTCCCTTCTAGCACGGATGATGTTCCCCCTACTTGGGTCATGAAACATCTGCAAGAAAACAAGATCAGAGAGTGCCAAAGTTCAGTAAAATCAAAGGTCAACAAGCCTAAAGAGAACAAAAAGACCACAAAACACCTCCCCACCCACGGTCAACACTCAGATAAGCACCGATTAACTCCGAGATTAAGATCGGACCATTGGCCAGGATGTAAACAATGCCCAATTCAGGAAACTGCCAAGCTAACAGTAAACAGCCCAGCCAAAGAACCTCCGAGGCCAACCCCACCAACACGGGCAGCGCAAGCCACTAGAAGAGGAATCTTCTAGCCCTGATGGTGATGATCCCCAGTTTGGGTCATGAAACATCTGCATCAATACAACCCCGGAGAACACCAAGGACCCCCCGGGGTGGGATTCAGCCGGTTTGGCCTGGTTCAAACGAACCGGATGTTCACATTTACATTTGGTTTGCCAAACCGGACCGACCGGCTGGCCCCGCCCACCCCTCCCCTCCCAGGAGTTTCCACGCGGCCCGTTTTGGGTGCAGGTAAGCGCAGGGCCCACGTGGGGGCTCTGGGAGGGCAAAAAAGGGGGCCGAACCGGAAGCCCCGGAAGTCCGGAAATGGGCCCGTTTCTGGCTTTCAGAATGCCTCTGGACTATGGGGAAGGCGATAAAACGGCCCTCCTGGACGTTCTGGCACCATGGCCACACCCCCCCCAGCAACCGGACAGCGAACCGGTTGCTGGTGTTTTTGAATCCCAGCCCTGCAAGGACCCCTCGGCAGCTTTTCTGCTTTGAGGGGAGGGCATATCTCTGGAAGACGTGTCCTCTTCTTGGATACCTCATCGTACAGACCCCTCCTCCTCATTGCTCGTGATAAAAATAGCCCTGCTTTCCTCCCACCTGGAGGACCCCTCTATGGTTGGACCTCCCCAGTCTTGTCTCCCCCTGCAGTGGGAGTGGGAGGTCTGCTTCTCGGCAGGTGGTGAGGGGAAAGCATTTTGACCCCAATTTTTGCCTTTTCCCCAGCCGTGTGGGCTGGGCGTCTTAAGGAGGCTGAGCAGTATCGCCCAACGGTCAGCTTTAGCAGAATAACAAGAGTTGGAAGGGACCTTGGAGGTCTTCTGGTCCAACCCCCTACTCAAGCAGGAGACCCCCGCCCTATATACCATTCCGGACTAATAGCTGTCCAGTCTCTTAAAAATCTCCAGTGTTGGAGAATCCACAACATCTGGAGGCAAATTCCAGGCCTGCAGGCTTCAGCCACCTGGAAATTTCAGCCATTGCCTTGCTGGCTAAGAAGTGATGGATGTCGAAGCCCACCTCTCTGGAACCTTGAGAAGTTTGGGGGCCTGAGACCCTGATATGCCTCAGCCAAGTGGGGTGGTATCGGGGGGGGGGGGGGATATCGTTGAGTGGCTGGGAGAGATGCGGCCACAGCTGCCTTGGCGAAGAAGGAGACAACTAAAGCCAGTCTTGCTTTGCAGGACATGGACTACTCCAGGATCATCGAGCGTCTCCTGAAGCTAGCTGTAAGTATTCCGCAGGTGGCTTGGCTGGGAATCCTGGGAGCTGTAGTCTCGATTTGGAAGGCAGGAGAATGAGGCTCAGCTGGGAAGCGGGTGGCGGCTGGTGTGCAGTGTTGGGGACACAAACATGTTTCTTGAAGGTAAGTTGGCAGCTCCAGTTCTGGGGGCCCCCCTGCAGGATGGTGGCTGTCCCTGGAACGCGTCTTTCAGGACAGACTTCAAAAGGGCCCCATCCTGCGTCAGAGGCCCAAAGCCTGTCTAGATTGGCGATAGGAAAGCTCAATAGAAACTCTTCCCTAAAGACAGGTGGGACTTGCTCTCTTGGTTCTCCACTTCTGGTCTGATGAGGAAGTTGCTCCCAGAAGCTCTTTTTCTTTCAGAGCAGGGCTTTGGTGTTCTGACCTCGGTGTCCCCCAAAAGCAGACGCTTTGTCCCGGCAAAACCCCTTTTCTTAAACGAAGGCGAATTTCTTGCGTTCACCTTCCGCCAAAGGCCTGGCCAACAGCCTTTCCAGGGTGCGATTAGAAGCACAGACCTTATCTAGCCTGGAGAGCTGCCAAGTAACTATTTCCAAACTGCAGTGCTGACAAGGAAGGACTCAGCAAAGCGTCTCTTGAGATGCACAGACAGATCTTCACACGGCTGGAACGGACGAATTGTTCCCTGCAAAAGCCCCCTCCCCTTTCGCTCCTCCTCTTTTAATCCCTATGGGAGGGGCCTGTGGCCTTACTCCCACATCGACCTTGAGTTCTTAATTGTGCCTTCCTTTTGGCAGTTCTGTGCATGCGCAGGCTGGCAACCGGTTCCAGAAGCTCCCCCGCCTCACTGTTGTCCAAGCCCGAAGGCAGGTGGTGACTGCTAGCCCACTCTGGCCCCATCTCTGCCTCTGATGCAGAGCCCTCGTTCAGGAATGGCCCAGGTTCTTCCCCAACCTCCTCACTGCCCGACTCTGCTGCCAGCTCCGCCAGCCACCAGTGGGCCATCACATTTGACCACTTTAAGACTTGTGGACTTAAACTCTTCAGAATTCTTCAGCCAGCGACGAATTCTGGGAGCTGAAGTCCACAAGTCTTGAAAGTGGCCAAGGTTGGAGACCCCTGCTCCAGAGGAACCACCCATGGGCCTTCTTTTTGTCTCGCATCTCCGCAGGTTCCCAATCACTTGATATGGCTCATCTTCTTCTACTGGTTCTTCCACTCCAGCCTGAACTTTATAGCCGAGATCTTGCAGTTTGGCGACCGAGAGTTTTACCGGGATTGGTGGTGAGTTGGCTGGGTGTGTGTGTGTGCGTGTGTGTGTGTGTGTGTGTGTGTGTGTGTAATCTATTGACTGGGCCACGCAGAGGACTCCCTACCTTTTGGCATGTTGGTCCAAACTGATCAGAATGGCACTGGATTGCTTGGATTACGGCAGCCTCTGAGCCTTTCACAAAGGTTGCAAGCAAATCCGTTTGGATAAGGAAGGGGAAAAGGGCCCTCCCACATCCCCTGAATTGGTTATGGCAGGGGTCCCCGGACCGGTACCGGTCCGTGGAACAATTTCTACCGGGCCGCCGGTTTGCTGGGCGCCGCCATCTTGTTTTGATGAAAAAGTGCTTCCAGTGAGCTTTTCCGGGTAGAAAGCGGCATTTGGGTGCTGAAAGAATCCTCGCGCCTTGGTTTCATGGGGGGGGGGGGGCGGCTTCGAACAAAACTAAGGCGCGAGGATTCTTTCAGCACGCATGGCAAGGTGAGCCGAGCGACCGTCGCGAGGCCATCGCGAAGCCCATCGACACAGGTACAAAGGAGGAGTTGAAGGTGGTGGGGAGAAGCGGGGGACGGCTTGCTGGCCGGTCGCTCGGCTCGCCTTGCCATGCGTGCTGATGCCGGTACCGGGCCGCGGATGATTTTGTGATGCCGGTACCAGGCCGCGGCACAAAAAAGGTTGGGGGCCACTGGGTTATGATATGTAGGACAAAGCAAACATTTAAGTCGGTCAGTCAGAATAGAACTGGAAGGGACCTTGGAGGTCTTCTAGTCCACCCCCGTGCTCAAACAGGAGACCCAAAACCATTCCAGACAAACGGCTGTCCAGTCTCTTCTTGAAGACCTCCAGTGTTGGAGCATCCACAACCTCTGGGGGGCAACTTCTGTTCCACTGGTTAATTGTCCTCCCAGTCAGGAAATTCCTCCCTATTTCTAGCTTGCTGCTCTCCTTGGTTAGTTTCCACCCATTGCTGCTTCTCCTGCCTTCAGGTGTTTTGGGAAATAGCTTGACCCCCTTCCCCCTCCTCCTCTCTGGGGCAGCCCCTCAAACATTGGAAGGTTGCTCTCCTGTCTCCCCCGGTCCTTCTCTTCCCTAGACCAGCCAGGCCCAGTTCCTGCAACCGTCCCTCGTAGGTTTGAGCCTCCAGCCTTTCTTTTCTCTACACTACCAATTGCCAATTCCTGCAGTGTGTTTGCCTCTCGCATCCCATCAACCCGTCAATCAGAACAGAGCTGGAAGGGACCTTGGAGGTCTTCTAGTCCAACCCCCTGCTCAAGCAGGAGACCCTGCTGCCCAGGCATGGAGCACCCACAACCTCTGTCCCCCCAGGTTAATTGTCCTCCCTGCCGGGAAGTTTCTGCTTAATTCCAGGT